TAGGAACAATTTCACCTTTGAAATCTAAACTTGCCATGTTTCAGTGTAAAAAAGATAAAAAAAATCTTAGAGCTAAGGTAAAACTTACGGTGCTTTTCAAAACAAAGCATCTAACCTTGAAACACAGAAACACACAAAACGGATCGAAATCCACCAATCACAAATCACGAACGACGACCTTTTGTTTCCTAAGAGGTTTGCTAAGATGTAAAAAAGGCGAGAAAGCGAAGAAAGCGCCGCTTCTTCAGATTTTGATTGACGTCGTAGAAAAACACAAAATCCAAAGACATTTTTGGCATCGCAAGTCGGGTGTTATCCACAAACAGCTCTAAAAGCATCGTTCATTTAAATGCAACATGGATTCTCTAGCCTCATGATCTTATTTTAAATTAATGTTATCGCAAACACAGAAGAATAAGCATAGACATTGTTTCTTACATATTATTATTTTTATTCAAAACCCATTTGTTTATCCTTCCAAAAACTTCGCATAACACTTACTTGATTGTGAATCCGTTCACGCAATAAAATCGGCTAAGTACATGGTTAAATCCAAAACAAAATCCATCTCGAATCTGGGTACATTTTCCAATTTTCTAAAACTGAACGTTCAATGTATAATTTTCTCAAAATTCCCGCATGAAATTGAAGCGGCAGCTATTTGTTTTTCTATGGAGCGTGGGCGCAGAAAGAGTCAGCAAAATTCCAGAATATGCGTGCGTGCACAGATAAAACTGGTTTATCCAGTATAAAACTTGTCTGACTCATCCAAAAAGCTGGATGATCGGCAGATCAAAGGAACTTGAAGATGTCGGCAGAGTCGCTTCCTCTTTCCCGACTTTTCTAGGAAAGATCGAAGCGACTCTGCTAGCAGGGTAGGTATAAATACGCCTAACTCCGTGTTTTGGTTGGTCAGAGACAAACGTTTCTTATTAGAGGACACCTCAAAGATGACGAAGTTTTTTTTTATCATTTTACCTTTTTTTTTCACGAGAAATCGTCACACGGTGAGACGGTTATTTTTATTGAAGAAGGTTAAGCCCTTTCCGATTTTCCAGAACCTATTGCAAAATTTGCAAAATAACTTGTTTTTCTCTACGACATTCGCTACCCGCCAACCCGCCAAGAGGGGGAAATCTCGGACCGATGATCCTCGTCATAAAAAAATGGTCTCAATGACGACAAATTCAAAGTTGAATATCTACTTAAGGGAAGTGTGTTCTAGACGTCAATCAAGTTGCAGAACAAACAAGAACATGAAAAACAACATGTAAGTTTATTTCATGTATATGAAAAAAAAAATAGTCACGGAAGTTCACACTTGTTTTTATTCTCATGATTCGTCAATCCATCGATCGCTAAAAATAAAACTCGGGTAACATTTACAAAAAAAACATTAAAGAAACAGAAAAAAATAGATGAATCACTAAAGGGCAACTATTTAGCTTTAAATTTTTTAATAAATGCAAATGTGTTTCGTGAAAAACGACTTTTCAAGGTTTTTCCTTCCGTCATTTGCATTTTCACGATAAAATTCCCGTTTCTAGGAACCCATGCGTAAACGTCTACCGAGGGAGGAGGGGTTAGGGGAATTGTTTGAAATCCCAGATTGAAGTTGTTTTCTCTTACAACGCGTCTTTTTAGCTGTTATTAAATTGACAAAAGTTATTTTAGCCTATAAATGGGACCCATTCTAATATGTTTAACTTAAAAAGAAGTTTATAAAAAAAGTTTTTTATAGTTTTTGTTCCCTCCTTCGGTTGGTATAACATTTGTTTTTAAAATTATGTGACGTAAGCACGTGCGTGCTCCTGATATGTACAAGAAGTCGGTTGCACTTTTATCAGTGTCACACTTCGATGTTAAAAATTCCTAGCGTTTAAATATTGTGCCGATTTTTCGGCTGATATCTTCAGATTTTCACTAACGGACTTTAAAGGCGAAACAATCTTCATTGGTTCTCTGAAGGACTGAAAATATTTCGCGGGAAAGGGAAATCGATTGGTAATTGACAGTGCGACGTGTTAAGATTTCTCATAACTTTTCGTTTCAAATCCAAGGCTGTTGTTCTCGAGGGAGTGAACTTTAAAGAACACTGACTGAATAAAAAGCCAAAGCAGCTTGGTTCATCGTGGTTGAGGATTCCTGAACAGACATCATCATGAATCTTGAACAGCGCTTGTTTTTTTCTCTTGTTGTCGTCGTGAGTGCTGTTTATTTCACCATGCCAGTTTCAGCGGCCGAGAAAATCGACTGCACCAAGTTTAACAAATCATGCAGCGATTGCACAGGGCATTCGGAGTGTTACTGGTGTTCTTCTACAGGAAAATGCAACAATTATCCCGGCTGGACGAAGATTGTCCCTCGAGATTGCCCCAGCAAGAAGTGGTACTACGGCCAGTGTCGGCTTTCGGGGAGTGTTCTCATAATTTTAATTCCATGTCTTGTCGGCGTCTTCTTGTTGTTTCTCGGCTGCTGCATCTACTGTTGCTGCTGTCGCCGTTGCCAAAAGTGCAAGAAAAAGCGCCTAGACAAAGAGGATGCAAAACTAAAGCAAAAACGGGAAGAAATGCGGGCCATCCACTCTCAAAAGCGAAGCGAAAGAGAAGTAAAGAGAGATGAAATTCGCAAGAAGTATGGCCTTCGTCCTGGTGGTTCGTCTGGATATCAGCGAATAGAAGATTCCTAAATATCGTATTTTTGGATAATTTTAATGTTGATAGTACTGATAAAATGTTTTAATGTACTCCCAGATTTCTTTTCGATAAAAAGAAGTTATCCAACAGCGAAGAGAGGAACCTTAAGTACATTAAAAAGCGTAATATCTATTTTTTTTTCTTTTCGCAATCTGCATGGAATGATATTGCCTTAAGTATAGACAGGACGTTATATTCGAACAATGATCTATTTTAATCCCTATTTTCACCAATTGCTAACCATTTATTGACGTTTACCTTATGAGAAATCATTAGTAAGCAATATAATTTTGGTGATTGTGTATTTCAATCGTCAAAATATTCTACGATCTGCATCGGTACCTCTAGTTCCTCTTTCTGGGTGAATGAATGTCAATCGTGTTTTGTTTGCATTGTGTAAATTGTCATTGTATAATATAAACACGTCCTTGCTCCCTTGCTCTTGCACCGCAAAAAATTCGACCGTTTTCTTGCTTCGGATTTCTAATATTCAAAGCAATACTTAAGCTTATAAGACTTAGTTCAGGCTGGAAGTTTAAAAAAAAAAAAATAGGGGTGTAGTTGGTATGTAAGCTTGTTTTTATAAAAGACTGGGGATAATAAAAGAAAGGCCTTTCAGATGTTTTTGTAATATTTTTGCTAGAAATAAACTGAAATTTAGTTGGATCAACAGCAGTGACCTACATCTTATTTCTCCTTACAATGTAACTGCCAAATAAAACATAAGGGCCTGGAGAATAAAGGAATTTATCGCAAAATAATGTTCATTTATCTTATTTCTCATTTTATTTATTTCGTGAGACATTTCACCTGTTAGCAGTGTAGGAAATGTCCAGAGACGCTTGTTCAGGCCAAAAGACCAAACTGAGCCCCGCAGAGCCATAGCTGTCATAGCACTTTAGAAAACTTAAAGTGCAAAATGACAAACATGACACTAACAGCTAGCCTGTGAGCAAGCTCATCACCTGGGGTTATAGAATGGTTCCTTGAAAAACGTGATTCTTGGAAATTTTGCCCCGATCTCGACATCTCGGAAGCATTTGTGCTAGTCTTGAAGTCTTGTTTTCAGGTGATTGTGCATCTCGAAGGCTCCAATTTTTTTTAAGTCTCAGTCTTGAATTTTAAAATCAGGGTCTCACAAAGTCTCGAATTTACCATTCTATCCCTCTTGTCCTGTGGCTCCTAGGGGTACAGGGGTGGTGGAGGGAAGAGGGGAAGGAGCACCAGAGTGTCCTTGGCAGATCTTGCTTGCGGTCCACTGATATTAAGAGAGGAAGATTGTGCATGTCTTCCTCTTTTACCGCCCCCCCCCCAGCACTTATCTCTGTCTGGCAGGTTAGCAGAAGCGAGATGCTGAGATATTTCATCTTGACCCAAAAGTGGGCCACCCATCTTGAATATAGCTGAGGATATTCAAATACTGAAAGTGAAATACCCTCACTCACACTGGGCTTAAACATGTTTTGATTTAGGGTTGTTTGGTCGAATAATGCGATTCAAAACGTCTGGTCTCTTTACATTAATAATTTGCTTGCGAAAAAAATTTTTTGCCGTAATAACCAAGGAGCTCATGCAATGAAGCAGAAGTTAAAACTAACATGAATCCTATGTAAAAGCCTGTGTTTCAGTTTTGTGTTAGTGACTTTTGTCTTTCAACCTGGTTCAGATTGAAACAACAACAACAACAAGAATGTTTTGCTGCTGTGGATGGGACATAAACTTGGACCCTGCATCCGTTATACAGTAGTTGTCAGTGAAAATGACCCTGTTTAGCTATCCCTTACCCCACCCTCAGGATGCATGAGAAAAGCTTGGAAAAAGAACTCCAGGCTATGCTAATCTTTAATGGCCTACATCACAGACAGTCAAAATCTGCGTCAAGTTTTCTATCTGAGTCTTGAGTGAAAAGTGCAGCTGCAACGTAAGCTAATCTAGTGTAATTTATTATTTTTATATCATTATTATTAACATTATTAGAGATATTTTTATTGTATAAATTAAAGATGAATAAACACCCATACACTCCACTTACTCCTCCCTTCTTTCTTTTATGTTTTTTGTCGTTGCTGAATTATAACGAATTCTTCCTGTCGAGAGAAAATGCAAAATGCTGCGCTAGTAGATCAAGTTGTGCCAAGCTTTTTCCCATCATTTTTTTTTTCTGTCATTTTTCTCAAATTTCGTTTTTGTAATGCTTGAGTAGTCACGTGATAAATTGTATTTTTCAAACAAACATGGCGGCGGTTGGTACTGAAGGAAGTAGTCGGATCAAGCGCATCAAAGAGGCGTAAAATTAGTCGATCGTCCAACGCAAGTCAATTTATGACTTTAACTTCATTCGCTTATCAGAATGGACTGGGCGATAAGACTTTAACCCATTCCCTATCAGTCAGAAGTGATGAATGGGAATGCTGGTTCGCGCCGTGACAAATTTTTCAGCAGGATTCCATTTGCTGTCAGTTTCTCTCCTGCGAACTCGAATGTCTGCACGCTGCAGTTACTATGGATGTTTACAATTGTAGGCGCTGTGTTTTCGTCTTCACAAGGTGGGATAGTCTGGATTCATGATTCCGCTTTTTGAATTCCCCGCACATTCCGAAGCTTAAAGTGAGATGTTTTTTTTATTTCTTCTGACTGCTCATCCACTACCGCTTCTTGTAACTTAATCCGTTCAATGAAATACATTTTTGCTTATTCTAATCTCTTTCGCTATCCTACATTTATTCCAAGTTTTTTTCTTCAGTCTTTCGTTTTGTTTGTTTGCATTTTGGATAGTTTAGTCTTTGGTCATAGCAGGATTGAAATTTTAAACTGGTCGAATTTCAAAACTCGCTTACTAAAAACTGAAGCGTATAGCGACCGGATGCATACTAAATTCTCTCGTTACTACTCAGCTAAGGCCATGATTTTTCCCTAAATCCATTAATCTTATAGAACCCAGTTTCTTAACATTACAAATGTACACTCGAGGTAGATCATTTACTAAATTATGCCCTGAAATTAATTATGCTGAAGCCAGTCGAAGCAAGTTTCAGTGAAAGGCTATTTCATTTGTGGCTTTGAATTAATTAATCTTTGGTTATAAGGAAATTGAGCGTGTCAGTAGGATTTTAACCACTTTTCCTTTAGGAGTAAATTTATATGAATCAAAATAATATTCTTTGACAATTTCACAACAGGAGCCTTGTACATGTACGTTTAAAAAAATCTTTTTTCAAGAAATCAAAACACCAAGGCAGCTGATAGTAAAATCAGGCAAGGCAATTATCAAATCTTGTCTTACATGGTATTATCTTTTATCTCAAGTGTAATTTTTTTATGTTCGGTTTCGCAGAAGAGTGTTGTGGTTTGGACTGTTCTGTCGGTCAGATTCATTTTGACAAGTTGACTGTAGACCTTTGCTTATCACCCAATAAGCTTTTGGTGTAATGTGTGTGGCAGGCGTTAAAAGGGAATGGCGAAGAGGGAATTCGGGCATGCTATCAGATTGTGAAGGGGCACCTCTCGCGCAGTGCCCCTTTCCGTAATCTCTTTCTTCCTCTTAATGCCTGTCACGCAGGCTACTTATGATGGTGTACAAGCTCAGATTAACTCTATTATTATTAATAAGTAAAGATTTTCCTTGGATGCAGATCTGTCTTCTACTTTGTTTCATGCAGAAAAGAGATGCGTATATGTTTTTCTTCTTATTAACACTCCTTATAGCCAATCAGAATAATTATTAATCCTTATTATATGTAGCCTGAATTTTAGCTGTCTCCTTCGGTCAAAAACTCGAGGAGACAGCTGAACTTCAGGCTATATTATGTGCGTGCTGTCCAAAATTGATGATAGCACTGTCCCAAATTTCTGGTAAAACAGCAGGATACTGAAGCATTGTTTCTGAGATATCCTTTACCCTTATGAAGCAAAGAAAGATGGAGGTTGTATCTGATCTGCATGCTGAGTTTTGGAGTCTAGAGAAGAAATTTTAATCATGACCTACGACCAGCAGCATTTTAAATCCTTTACTACTCACCATACACCAGTACATGTAGTTTAGCTCACTACTTTTATGCTGGAGATAATGACCAGTCTATTTTTTGTCTTTCTCACTCCAATTATTAACATTGTCATGACCAATGTGCTATAAGACTTGTTACTTGTTAAAGTGGATCCATATTATTTCAGTTGAGACAGAAAGGAGACAAGTAAACCTAACCTGCGATTTAAGTGGCTCCAACATTCCTTGGTCTTGTGAAGGAAAACATACATGTAACATTGGCCATGTTTTGACATTGGGATCCATAATGCAAAATGCAAGTGGAGTCTACAGATGTAATAACTCAACTTCTGGGGAAAACTATACCGTGACTGTAGAGTGTGAGTAAAAGCTTATACATCTATGTGTTTTATTTTTGTGTCTCATTTCCAGGGTGCAAAGAAACTCATTTTTACAGCTTGCCATTCGGGCAAGCTGAAGCTAGCATTTACTAGCCCAGACTTCATTTCAACTAGCCCCAAAAGCTTTTTGACAAGCAGAATTGGTTTCACAGTTCTTCTGTTGTTCGAATTCCTCAAAAAACATCACTTGCCCGTCGGGAAAGTTAGAAACAGAAGTCACTAGCCCGTTAGCAAAATCCACCAGCCCCGGGCTATCGGACACTACTTTCTTTGCACGCTGCATTTCCCTATGTTTTCTGTTCTAATTGTTTAAAAAATAATTTTCTGTTCTCTTTGGGAAAACACAGGTGGTGCTGAGGGAAGAATTCCAGCCACTGTTACCAGAGTCACTTTAGGGGGAACCTTAAATATTATTTGTGAAGTTGATGCTACACGTCGGGAAACTTATGTTACCTGGTTTTTTAAAGGTATTGTAGAAGGTAAGCACACTTAAAATAGAATATTAGCATCAACAAACTCATTTTATTTATGTGTCTCCACTCAACAGGGCTGCAAATAATTTCATTTTTGGTAACAGATATATGTCCACCAGATCCACACCCCAGAGGAGAGGGAGGCGGGGTGGGAGGGGGGATATTTTTGGGTTTGAAATTTTCAATTCCGGGATTTTTTTGGGTTGGAAAATTTGGCAAGTATTTTTTGGGGCGGCTTGATTTAAGTAGGGATTTTTTGGGGTATTCAAAACATCTAAAGTTTGTAGTAGTGCCCGCATTTCCCGGCTGCAAACACAAACATTCCAAACATGATACATGTACTTTGTGCAGTTGATGTCTTGACTTGTGATGGATGGATAGATTTCATTCATTCTTTGTAAATGTGGTCTGTTCCACAGCAAACAGCTCTAATCTGACAATCAGCAATGTCAACTGTTCATCTTCATCGGAAGGCATCTACATTTGTAGTCCTGTAAATAGTATTTCCGATGGAACTGCCAGTGTTACAGGTAAGAGATCGAAAACTTTCAAAAAGACAGGGTTATACATGTACACATCAGATAGAGTACATATGTACACTGTAAATCTGAAAACCTAAACTTTAAATTAATAACTGATAATACCCCTCCCCCACAAAATTCAAATAATTTTTATAATGAAAAAAAAAATATATATATATATATATATATATATATCAATGACCAAACCCACCCAAACAAATCAAACAAATTGTTCCAGTCGTCAATAACGTATGGGTGTTAAACTTAGGACATTAATAAACATGCAGTCAGGGTTGTCAAAAGTAGCTGGCTGCTGGTGAAAATTGCCTCCTACTTGGTTAGTATCAGCCGGCTACTCTGCTTGGCTTTTCTTTATAGATGACGTTTTTTAAATATAATATCCCTGGACTGACCGCTTATTTTGACAACTCGGCCATCTACTTCAAAACTTTCTTACAACCCTGTGCAGTACAAACACAGACCATCAAAATTTGCTTTTATGATCATTGCAATGACAAAATATTCTTTGTTAATAGTGATGAAATAATTTATGCACATAAATTCCCCAAAACTGGTCATTTAGTATGAATCCAAAGAAATAAATTATTTCAGATTTTGGGAAAAAATAAGCTTAGCACAGAAAAGCTCAAAGCTCAGGAGATTTGGTAATTTTTCAAAAAATTCCTTTGTCCAGTTTAATATCGGCTTGCGACCTTTCGTAACTTTGCTGCTCAGTCAGCTGCTTTGCAGCTTCAGAACTTGCTCTGCTTGCTTAGAAACTTGTGAGGTCAACTTGCACATGAAGCAAGACAGTGTAGCGATTTGGTGACTTGTGTACAGGAGAGCATGAGATCAGTGCTGTGTCCCAGAGATTTTGCATGTTTGATAACTAATAATGTAATTTAAATGTGTACTTCATTCTTCATTGTGCCTCTAGGTACACTCAACAGTAGTACCATCAGTGCTACAATGGAGGTTTCTACCACCAAACCATCCAACTCTAATGGAAAAACTAAGGTGCTTGATATTGTCCTTCCTATTTTTGCTGGAATTTTGGTTGTTGTGGTTGCAATTGGATGCTATCTTCGCTTTAGGTAAAGAATATTCTGTTTATTCATGGTCAGGTTAATGTTAACCCTCGTGTTTTTCAGAAGCTGAAGACCTGCCAGTGATGTGGCAAGTGGCATTACTATACATGACATGTACAAGTGTACATACTGCCTTACATTGTTCCTTAATATATTGTATGAAAAACAGACTTGCCAAGTCTCGATCTCTACTTTGTCGTGAGTCTCGTGATTTCACAACTTATTTCATGCTCTCAGGAGTTGGGAACTGATTTCTCACGCTTTATCGAAAAGTCAAACTCCAAAAATAATTTTGGAGTTGTGCAAGTAGGGTTTGTTTTCAAGTCAGATATCAATAGATAGCCAGCTCAATCCAAAGAAAATGATATGTGATATGATTATGTGACCTCCAATCCCCATCATCCCCACTGGAAGTCCTTCTTTTAGGAAATTTGGGACATCTCACGACGTTTTACCCATTTCTCACTACTTTTCTCAGCTTTAGGTTCGGAATCTCACATTTTTTGCCTTTTGGGGGTTCGCAGGTCTGGAAAAAAGAAATTGCAATCAACAGAGGCCATCTAGCCTGCATAAACATCTGTTTCTCCTCGCTCTTCTCATCTGCGATTCAGCAGCAGAAATTCCATACTGATGACGCAAATCAATGTTTACATAATTAATCCAGTAGTCATGGAGCTCCAAATATAAATTTGTCCAATTTTAAGTTCTTCTGGTCGTTTTTGGTAAAGTGTTGTGTTTATCTGCCAACGAGCTCAAGCAAAATTCAAATTCTTCTTCTAGAGAAGACTATATTCCACAAATATTGACTGTTTTGTTAGAGATTCTTCTCATTTACATTTGACCTTTGTGGCCTTTTGTCTTTTGTCTGTCATTCGTAAACAATAGCTAAAACAATGTAACTACTCCGTCGACCAATCAGCACTTCTGACCGGATTCTGGACAGATTTTACGTCATCAGAATGGAATTTCTGTCGCTGAGTCGCAGACGCTCCTCCGCGCGAAACATCCCCAGCAGTGAAGAGTGAGGAAAAACGGATGTCTTTGCGGGCTAGAGGCCATCCTAAAGCTGTAGTACTGTACATGTGCATCCTGTTGTATCAATAAGAAAGTCAAGGCTGCACTCTAAGAAAATTCGAAGCCCAATGCTTTGAACCTGTGAAATCCAGGGTGCCCAGCGTAGGATTTGTATGAAAAAGTTAAGATTTCATAGTCACTCAAGAGCAAAAATAAAGCCCCAGTGGCCGCCTGCAGGCACTGCTAGACCACAGCCCAAAAAAAGGTCATGAATGAGAGGTCTTTGAAAAAAGAAAATTATTGAGGGTTAATATTTGCAATAATATTTGGAATTTTTAAATATTTTTTATTAAATCATAATAATTTTAATATGATAACTAATAATAATTAATATAATATTAATTGATGTTTAGCCAAGAATCATTGCATAGTATTTGGAGAGTAAATAAATACATGTATTTACATTTGTATATAACGAAAAATATACTTATAACAATGTGGCGGCGTAAACAAGGTGATGATGATTTAAACAAGGTGACGATGAAGCAGGATTCTACTCTCTATAACTGGGTCAGAGGTGCATTCAACTTTCCCCGTCGGGGGAGGGGTGTAGGTGGTAATTAATTTGAAGCAGGGGTGAGTCAGAGTTGGACTTAGGGATAGGGATACCAACTTACACTGTGTGTCCAATGGTTACTTGTTGTACATGTACATATAAATCTAAAGGCCTTGGAGAAAGGCTGGAGGACGAGGATGAAAAATTGTTGAAGAATTGAGACAACTGTGAAATCTCATGTTGTACTGTATTTTGAATCTATCTTTTAGACATAGGAGACAGTGCTGCTGCAAAGCATATTGTAATGGCTTCTTCACCGTGCAGGATGAACCACCTCCTCCATCACCAAGCAAAAGACCAAGTCTTACTAGTTTTTCAAGTAAGTTGTGAAATATTTTTTAGTTATGTCTCTAGATATATCTACTTAGCTGGGTTTTTGAAAACTCTACTGCCAAGTAGACCTTTAACTATCCACCAGTTGTTTTTGTTTAAAATTTTCCCTAAAGTAGCTCATCACTGTAAAAACTAATTGTGCAACCATTGCTTTTTTTCTTTGCATTCGTCTCCTTCTTTCTTTTTCTCTCTGTTTTTTCCTCTACATTTCCTCGTGTAATGTGATTTATGGACTTATTGAATACAAGAAACTTGCCTTTTTGGCCTCTTTCCAGTCAAATAGCTGCAATTTTTTAGGTACATTTTCAATTGACTTTAGTGTTGTCAGGTACTATTGTCGATTTAAATGACAATGTGACATAAGTTTCAGGCTGTAGAAGCTTGGGAGGTGTAAGGCTTGAGAATCAGCAGGTATACAAACCTCAATACAAACAGAGGCAAACTTTTCTTTTCACCCAAGTTCAGGGATGTCACTGAGGGCTCGGGGCTAGGGATTTTTTTTTTAGCGTGAGCCCCGGCTTTTGATGTGCAAACAGTTTTCTCAGACTTACAATAATACAGAATTACCAGGTATGTTTCAAGCATGAGACAAACATCAATTTCACAATTTATTATTCTTGACTTAGTAAAACTGTATAAAAAATAACATTGTTATAAATTTTACTTTTATTTTTTTTCTTTTCAAAATTTCTTGAATCACATTTTTTCCCCTCTGAATACATGTAGAAAACAGAAAAATTATTGATGTACCTGGTGTTGAAGTTTATGAAATCAATGATAATATTATTATAATGCTGACTGTCATGAATTAATGTATTCTGAATGACAAAAGTGTTTGGTCTGTAAGCATAGTTATGTGATGAGTGAAGTGAAAATGTGACTGAATCTTGTGGTATATAAAAACACACCACACATGGAATATTCAAGAACTCATCTGCATGTTAAAAATTACACAGTCAGTGTTTAGTAAATAATGCAATAATTAAGTTCTAAAATGCAATGAAGGGTGCATGTTGTCAGTGGAGATCAATGAACAATAATTTTATTCAATATGGCAAGTACATTGCATTTACCATAATTGTTTTAATCTCGTCAATTTATTTATGATTAGCTGCATTTTAGAACTAATTTCTGAAGTGACTTTGAGGAAACATTGACTTTTTAGAAACTAGACTTCCTTAATATGTCTAGACAAGAAACTGTTTCATTATTCTGGAAAATTCTAATTTACAATTTCAATATATGTTTTTAAAATTATATTTCTTTTTTGTAATGCAAAAAATATGCAGCATGCCATGTATAGACTAGTTAATTTACTTGTTTTACTGGACAAAAGTTTATAAAGCTTGATTTTATTGATTTGATGCTGCATTTCCTGGGTCTGAAGATAAAATTAATAAGATATTCTGCAAAAAAAAAATTGTGTATTGTGGTCAAAAATATTTTTTTATTCAGACTACAAGGTGACCTGTTTTCTTTTCTTTTCTTTTCTTTCTTTGTTGTCTCTGTTTTATTTTTATTTTTATCTTTTGGCAATAATTAAGCTACTAGCATGCAATAGAATGCTGTTGGTATTTTGACAGAGTATTATTTTCTTCAGCGGAAATATTACTAATAGTTGTATTAATAACCCTTGATTTTCTTTCAGTCAGTTGTCTAATAATCCATACATGTTAAATAGTAGACAAACTCACAGAAAAACTGTCAGGTTATTTTAGTATGTTGTGGTTTAACTCCTCTCTTCCTATTGTTTTTGGGTATGGTATTGTTTGATAATGGGCTTGAAACAGTGGAAAATAAAATTTATAAAGGTTAAAGCTGAACCACAACATACTTGACCCAAAATTTTTGTGGAATCAGTTTTAATACAGCTGTTTTTGATAACACGTGACCTGCAATGTCAAAAACTTACTGGAATTTGGGGTTTTCTGTGAATTCAACCAAACCTTTACCATGGCATCTTATCCTTGCTTGGCAAATGCTTTCAGGTGTTAATTTGAAGACAGCAATTTTGATTTCTACACTAACCCTTGCCAAATTTCTCTGGTATGATGAACGCTTTTGCAAAGAGAAATCGGTAAGATGGAAAACCCAAAATCCTATTTAAAAAGTTTTTGACATCGCAGGTCTTTTGTTATCCGAAACAGCTGTAAAGACAAGTCTTGTACTAGAAATACGTTGTCGCAAAAATCTCATGAAGCTGTATTCATTTATCATGAATTCAAAGATACATGTAATAATAATAATAGTAATAACATTTATTTATACCGCGCAAATTTAACTATACAGTTTTCAAATGCGCCTTACAATTAAAGATCTAAAAATATACCTTACAATTAAAGATCTAAAAATATACCGTAAAAAAAATTACAACGTTAAATTACAACATTATATCAGAAAAGGCTTTTTAAAAAAGGTGAGTCTTCAAATTACGTTTAAAAACTCGAAAATCGGAGGTGCATCTAAGATCTAACGGAAGATTATTCCATAGTGCGGCTACAAAGGCTCGGTCACCAAGAGTAGGGAGAGTCCTAAAGTTAGGATTTGAAAGCAGATATTTGTTATTTGATCTGAGGCTGTAGGAAGAATTAGGTTTAAAGTTAACGAGAGATGATAAATAATTAGGAGCTATTCCATAGATTGCTTTGTGAGTGATTCCCTGATATTTGTGCCGTATGTACAGTCGAGGATAATTAGCTTAAACGAGTATTTCAAATTGCCATTTCACATTATTTCCTTGTTTATTCACTCTTGGGCTTAAACGCCAATCATTGTACCTGCCTGTCTTTTTCTTCATTGTTTGTGGTGGATTTCAGATTGCCTTTCTTGCTGCAGTGGAGTTTCAATGGTAAATCTTCCCCGACGAGGTTTTCAAGCCACTTGTTGAATGGAACAGACAGCAAATAAAGACATCAGCCTTTCATTAATAAAACATGATGGTGTACCACTGCATCAGCTATCATTTGCAGTTGAAGTTGTGTTGCCTGGCAACCCTAACATGCACCTTGACGTCACACTGGATGACGTCAACTGCAGACACCCAAGAGATGTAAAGAAACATTACCGACCCGAGTTTCTGCCTCGCTCTGCAATCCACGCGATACACTCGCTGAGCACATGACAAATTTATAAATTCACTACACAGTTCTGCAACTTACTTCACGAGGAATCAAATATAATACTAGTATTGATAGATTACTGTTCAAGAAAATTGAATAGTATTATTTTTTTGTTTCCTTATTACAGAAGCAAAGCATGGGGCAGTTTTGGTAGATGACTTTGCCCGTCATGTTAAAATTTTACACATGGATGGTGATTACAGATTCAGTCAAGAATTTGAAGTAAGCTGACGATAATATTCTTGCTCTTTTGAGACACCATTTTCCAAAACGGTTACTTCCATAGTGCCCTCTACTCACTTTAGAACTCAGGGTTCGCAAATACGCCAAATTTGGCGTATTTTATGCCAAAATTGTTCAGATGACTCCACAGAGGTTACAGAGGGAGTCACTTTGACTCCAGAAATTTTCGGTAACAAACACACTTTTGTCCTTACTTTTTTCACAACAAATACAATTTACATTAATTGTAAACGTTGTAAACCTTAATTAAAACATCAAAATTAAAGAATTATACTGCACGACAAAACAGGAAGAGGGTAAATTACGATCAAAGTATACTCGATGACCGCCATCATGGATTTGAGCTTTCCAGGTCAACGGACCGCCACGGCTACTTGGTGTATCCCTCACAATAGTGTATACATGCCAGGACCACGTGCTGGAAAGTCTGAAAATGGCTTTTTTCATTGTGATACTTGACTCCAAATATTTCAAAATGACTCCAAAATTTGTGAAGCAGAAGTCACAGTGACTCCACTCATCAATATAACTTGCAAACCCTGTGAACTACAGTATTTTATAGCCTGCAAAACTGGGCTGCTAAGTGCAGTTAACCATTGGTGGTCTGAGTAGAAAGGAAAGGATGCGATTGGCTTACTCTGCTCAATCCATTGCTTATTTTTTTGAGGTCCAACTTACTCCTGATTCCTTGATGTTTGTGTGGCATACCTGTGCCCTCTCCTTTCTGCTTTTCAACAGTACTACAAACTGAATACTCTGGTTGGGAACGAGATAGTGAGCAGGCGCAGTAGTCCAGCGTTCTCCTTATCAGGCCATAACCAGTAAAATTTACTGTTTCAAGCAACAATTCTTACCCCCCCAACTGCTTGAAGACTTACTAAAATTAAATAAGTTGTTTTGAAAAATTTGCAAGTTGCAATCGATCTCATCAAGGTAATAAATGGATATATGGAAGTGTACTAAAATATACACAGCTTTTCTCTTTATGGGCCACACATTGTGGAAAGAGAGTGTTGAAGACAGAGTAAAATTATTGGAATCAAACGTTTTAAATTGTTGTCTTAAGATAATGGCTGATTTGCGTAAAATAGGTCGTAAAAGCTCCAAAATTTCACAGCAAGGTTGAAACCATGTCCCTCACTCCACTGCCCCCCTCCCCCCCAGGAAAGTACACCTCTGGCACATATTTTTTGCCTTACCGGCCATGAATGATCCCTTACCTGCTGAGCTCAAATTTAGGGAGAACACTGGTAGTCTTCCATTTGTGTAACAGATGGTAACTGTTACCCATGTTTTCTTTCAAATTTCTAAAGCTGCACAGAAAGCCGAAAGTTTATTTTTATGGGACCTCCTGTTTTGTCCTCAGCCAGAGCTCTTGATTCATGGTGCTGGCCGAAAAGAACCGCAGCTTTGGGGACAAGAATGTAACTAGTGGGGGTGAATGGTCAAATTTATTACTACTATAACTAACATTTTGAGTCAGTACTCGATCATAAAAGCTTACATGTAATTTATTATAATGGTATTTTTACTGTAATTATTTTTTTTTTCTTCAACAGAGTTTAAAGAGTGTCCATCTTAAAAGCAGGTCATGGGTACATAGTGAAAAGCAAGAAAACCAATCCAAGAACAGATTTAACAATATTGTAGCTTGTAAGTTCAGTACACTGCAGTGGTATGTTAGTTTTACAAGTTTATATATAGTGGAAGACCAATATAATGAACCCCCATTTATTATATATATACTGATGAAATACCAGGATTTTTCCTTTTACTAAAAAATCATATCTTCATCGTGCGCAGTGAAGATACTATTTTTATCTTTCACGTGTGAGGATATTGGTGTTGCCATGGTTACTAACATGACTAGCCAACTACAAGAGAGCTTCCCGCTCAGGCGCGTGGCCAGTTCTTTTGACATTTCATTGACAAAAGCTGAGCTGCCAAATTTTCACATCAATACTTTTTCTGAGCTTGAAGAACATTCAGGAATATTTGCCCCCAAAAAAAAAAAAAAGTGTTTTATGTAGGAATTTCATCAGTATCTATAAAATAAACAGAACATTACATGGCTGCTTGGGGATACGAATTTTATCTTCTCGTGCTGAAAGTCTCCCACTCATTAGATTCATTCACTCGTGAGAGATACTTTCAGCACTCGAGATAAAATTTGTATCCCCGCATGGCCATGTAATATCCTCTATATATCAGGCAGACCCCTGCCCCCATTTTCATAGCATCCGTGGTACATTAAAGTGCATGTGAGACAGAGTTTTCAAATTGTGCTGCCATGCATCATCTGTTTCAGCAGACATTTTTTTCCAGTCTTCAATCATAGAATGTTAATGTTTGTGTTTTACCCATGTGTAAGTTTGCTGTTGTCCTTTTCAGATGATCATTCAAGGGTGATTCTTTCTCTAACAGAAAATGACCCTGAATCTCATTATATTAATGCAAACTACATTGATGTAAGTGGGATTATGAAATTGTGTTTAAAGTAAAATGTGCCTGTATTAAATAATGCCTCACAGCTAGGCTACATATAGTTGTTAATAACTCTTTCGGTTGCATATTACTTTTGGGATTGGTTCAGTGATAGTCAGTAGTTGTCAACCTGTGACTACAGACCTTTAAATTCCAGATAAGAACGACGTCTAGGACGAAATTTGACTTTAAGTTTTTTCACTTATTTTGAAAAAAATGTACACCTCAGAAAGCCTTATTTTACTTTTTTTCAACAGAGAATTTAGCACTGTTAACTTTGTTGAGGAAAGTGAAGCCCTTTCTCAATCACAAGATGATAAAACTTCTAACATTTGATAACTTGTTTCCGCCACTGCACTCCGACATTCTCGCAAAAACTAGAGTGACAACGGCTATCACGTTTTCCCGCCAAAATGACACTGTTTCATGCAAGCGCACTACGTAGTATTGAGAAAATCTGGTTCTCGTAGTCGTCCTCGTCTTAGGGCGCTTTCCAAAAGTCAGAACTGGCCGGCCCAGTCATTTTGACGAAGCAATAAGCTTTTTGCAAGAGTTTTTGTTGAAAAATCATCTCCTTCGTGCATACTATTTAGGATTTGACATATCTGGCTGGATAGTTTTGATTAAAAGTGAAATTCTCATTACAACGGGAATGGTCTGGCAGGTCAGTTCTGACAAATGGAAAGTGCCATTAGAATCTAAAGCTCTCTAATATCCCTGAAGGGATGACTTCCCTTTGGACTTTGCCCACTCCCCGTTAGTTTTTACCTTTTTACGTGCCGTGCATGTGCACTTGCAACCTGGAGATTAGGTTTGCAGGTTCCTCGTGTCGCCTGCTATAAAAGAGCAATTGTAAGAAGAGTTGTGCTGTCAAGTTATGAAGTGTTCAATTCATTTAATCTACTGTTCTTTTCTTTTTTCAGAGCTTTGAAAAAGCTAATGCTTATATAGCAACCCAAGGTTAGTATACTTGCTGACTGTGCTTCATCACCTTAGTTTTTTTTCTGATGCTCATCATAGATAAATAATTATTATTTAATTATTATTTATCTGTGATGAGTATCAGAAAAAAAAAGTAAGGTGATGAGTAAAAGTTGTAGGCCCCCATTTGGAGTTTGAATTAAGGTTGCAATATTGGATATTATTATTCATTCAAAATATTTTTCTATTCTTGATTGGTTGAAATCCTCTGGCTAATTCTTCATAACCAGCTAGCGTTTGCCATATTTGGAAGACGTTTGTGATATCCGGTAAAATGGCGTCAGTATTGTAGTCTATCGGCAGAGAATGGCCATAAAGAAACTATGTAGAAACACCTATCATCATGCAAAAATTTGGACTGGATAAATAATTAATTAGGTCTTGAAAGTTTCAACTGAATTTTCTCTCAAACTTCCAATGTTATCGTTATCGTGTCTTAATGTAATAATATTTAGTTAAAACAGTTCACCCTCAGTTGTTTGTCTGACCCGCCTAGATTAGCATTTGCTACCTGCGGGTCATTGTAATATTACTCAAGTTAATTTTTGCAATTAAGTTTTTGTTTGTTGTTATTGTTGTTGTTAAGAAAAAGGCATGGCAACTGAGAAGCCTTGGGCGGACAAGGTTGCGTCAGCTCAGCGATTTTGGGGAAAAATTAATTTTTCACGTTTTGGGAAGAAAAAATAGCCATACTACTGCCTTAAAACATTATTAGTAAGAACAGCAAAAACACAACTCGACGAGTGACAAGTTTTGTTTATGAATAATATCTGTTAAACTGAACATCCCGTTATATCCTAAATTTGCCGAGAAGGGGACATGCAAATGAAGGCGGAAACCAAACCACCTTCCGCTACCCTAAGCCAACATTAACACTTGCTTCTCACTTAGGGCAAAATGTTGGCTTAGGGGAGGGGAAGGTGGGCACATTCCCAGAAACATATAAGTGATTCTAGTATGTGTTAGCCTGTGTACAGAAGCCCCCTCTCCTCAGTAAAAATTTTTTGACGGAGTCTGCACACAGACTATGTTTTTAAAGTAAGAATTGTTTTGAATAGATATTGAAAATTCTTGGATTGGGCTTTTGTATGATCTGAAACATTTTGCATATTTTAAGCGGATAACACTCTCCTCCTCACACTCAATCTCATTCAATAATATCGTTAAGTGTTTTACCCCAGTAACAACTTTCTAATGAACAATTGTTCTCGTTTTGTTCTTTTCTGTGTCACAGGACCCGTGGCCAACACCATCAGTGATTTTTGGCGGATGGTCTGGGAACAAAACTGTACAGTGATTGTCATGATAACAAAAATTATTGAAAGAGGAAGGGTATGTTGTATTCACCACTTTTGAAACAAAAAGAAAAATGGTTAAGTTAACTTTCGCAAAAACGGTCGGGACTGTTGCAAGGGACAGGGGTAAAAATTGGCCAGTAGGGACGACGGCAACGAGAATGGTTAAAAAGCAATAGGTTTAGATTGGCAAAACAACAACTTCGCACGTGCATCACACTTTTTGGACATTAATTTGTCGTCACTGCACGACTACGATGTAAAAATGCCCAATTTCACGTTTTGAACATAACTTCAATTGAATGGACTGTATTTAGGTTGTTTGGGTGGGGTCTGGGACGGTGTAGTGTTGAATGGGCTTTATGGGAATGCTTTGGGCGACAAGTTGTGACCTAGTTTTCTGTACAACTTCGTGATAGCTAATAAAAAAAGGTCATACAGTTCCCAGGTCCCATAATGCAATTTGACGCAACACCGTCCTAGTCTTGCTCCTAGAATGGACTGTTGACCTACTTAATGTAGTGTTGTTGTGAAAGTGGATTTAATCCTCGCAGTTGAATAAACAACCCATGCGGTCATTTCCACTTTCTTCATCCGCAGTTCAAAATATGAGTCATTTCATATTTCCATGATTGTTTTAGCCGTAGATGGAAGTAAAATTACCAATGAATGCCGCGCCCAATCAAAAGTATGCGGCGTTTATTCAAGGATTATAACAAAAACTCGATACAATGTTGTAATCTACATCATCCAGAGAGTTACGATTCTATCTCAGCAAAAAGACATTCATGATTGGAACTCAAAACTTCTTCCTGTCCTTGAAAGTATTTACATGCAAAAATGACTAATCGTAATCGTTGTCAGTGATTTAAGAAATGTGATTTTGAAAATAAACGCCCCCCTGGATAAACACCGCATCAAAAACGCTAAAAATTTAACATGTGTTGCGGCGTTTAATCGAAAGAAACAAGTTGGTAAGCAATCGCCTAGTCTTTGTAAAACCGTCAAACCCTGTGTGATGGACACCCACTCGATACGGACACCTTATTATTACGGACAGTTTGCTTTTTCCCTGGGTAACGAAGGCCCTTGATTTTTTTCTAAATTCAACCCCGTAAATACCGACACTTTCTATGACCCCCACAGATTCCGTATAAACGAGGTTTGTCTGTAGCAATGAAAGAAGCTATTTTGGCCCCAAAAGTCCTTCAGGCCCCGTTGACACTTGTCCGAGTATTCTCTTAAACGGGGGGTGTTTATTAGAGAGGTATCTAATAAAAACGTAACATCGTAGAGAGAGCGTTTATGAGACAAGAGGCATTCCTTTGAAAGGGGGTGTCAATTAGATCATTTACTGAGTATTAATTTTGTTGCAGCACAAATGTACCATGTACTGGCCTTCCAAACAAGCTAAAACAGAAGTTCACGGTCCCCTTAGAGTGACATACCTTGATGAAGAAGCGTTTGCTCATTACACCGTGCGCAGATTTGAAGTAAAACCTGTTGAACAGGGTAGCCATTACTGTCAGGTGCGTGCTGTAGCTAAAGGACACCGGTTCTGTTTAGATATAGTACTGCTCATTAGCTTTCTTTTGATTGGTCAAACTTAAAGATTTTATCTACAGACTCAAACGTTAGAAATGCTATGTACTGCGTAGTAAACAGTACCACAGGAAGTACTGCTCAGTAGCTTTTTTTTTGAATGGTCACACTTTACAATTTCATCCATAGACTCGGAAGTTAGAACCACCTTGTACAGCATAATAAACAGTACCACAGGGAAGTATTGCTCAGTAGCGTTCATTTGTTTTGAATGGTCACACCTTAGGATTTAGCCCACAGATTTAAAAGGTTAGAAGCACCTTGTACAGCACAATAAACAGTACCATGGGAAAGATTTTTGTAACGAACATAATATCGCTGTCGTTTTAAACGTAAGTTATAATCCTGGCTGCTTGTATTAGCGCATACAATATTTTTTTCCTACCAGTTATTCTCTCAATTATCGCCAGATTTCTAGTAAATGTAGAAACCTAATGCTTTTAAACAAAATCCATTGTCCTTGCCCAACAGCATAAGCTTCGTCTCATGTCAAGTTTCCTTGACTCTGGCCAAATTCTCATACAATAACCTTTCGAACAAGTGGATTGCTCAAAGCGAAACCGAAAAAAGAAATGACACATAGTATAAAAAATACATTATAAAATTAATTAATCAATTAATTAATAACCAATAAAATGTTAAAACAGTTGTCGTTAATGACAGATTAAAGATATAACGCCTCAGCTCTAGATCTGTAAAGATGTCTTTTAGGGCGCTTTCCAAAAGTCAGAACTGATCGGTTGGACCATAGCCGGACCAGTCATTTTGACAATGAAAAATGCTTTTTTCCAAGAGTTTTTGTTGAAACACCATCTCCTTCGTGCATGCTATTTAGGATTTGACTGATCTGACTGGATAGTTTTGATTAAAAGTGAAATTCTCATTATGACCAGAAAACTTTTGTGTTTTTCTGCCCAATCAGAATCCAGAATGGCGGCGACCGTTTGTAACTGGTCGTCCCCAGGGCTCTTCTCTTTACCCTTCGTCCCCGTTTAGACTTTCCCCCCCCCTATCTGCGTCTCCGAGGAAAAATTGGGATGCTATTTAGGATTTCCCTTTCCTGAGGATAGTTTTGATTAAAAGTGGAATTCTCATTATGACTGGAATAGTCTGGCCGGTCAGTTCTGACAAATGGAAAGCGTCATTAGATGAGCATAACATTTTGATTTAATTAACAGTGGTGCTGTGTTTATTCTTGCATGCCGGCATAGTTTAAATACACTACTCAGGTGGTTCCTTATGGAAATAACTGGGTAAGGGTCTTTCTAAAAACTTTTAACACTTCATGATTAATGATTTCTTTTTAATTTCATTTGTGGATGTTTATAATGTCAGCCCTTAATAGCGTGTTTACTAATAGAGCGTTTTCACATGACGTCACGGCGACCATATTGGTGTTCCAAAACAATAAAACGGCGGCTACCGTAAAAATCCGAAAATAAGCCCCGGGGCTTATATTTTTCCAAGGCCCTTTTTGAGGGGCTTATTTTTGGAGAGGCTTATATTCGGAGGGGCTTATCTACGAAGGGGTATTTGCCTTTCAAAATCGATTGGGCTAGCCTTATAGTTGGAAGTAAATGTACCGTTTTTTGCTTTGTTTTACTTTGTATTTGAGGGAAGGTTTCCAAGTACAAGCCCCTGAGGGGCTTATACTTGGAGGGGCGATTTAACGGAGGGGTTTTTGCGTTACCGGTTTGGGGGGCTTATATTTTGAGGGGCTTATTTTCGGAATTTTACGGTATGTTGGCGTTCCACACCAATCCTGTGGTAGATAAACTCTTTCCTTTTGTAAAAGCTCTCTTTTGTTCCCAATAAATTTGCGCAGATGCTGATCACATGAGTGAAAACGCTCTGTAACATAAGTGTGTAAATTGCTAAATAAAGGTCCTCTTAAATATCGCAACGAGCTCTTAACATTAAAAAGTTGGTTTAAATTAAATTAAGCTCTAAGTCATCTCTCGCCTTATTTTAATTTCCTAAAGTCAAGTTAACTGCAACAAAATATTGTTTAACAGGTTTTCTCTAACCTTAAAAGAATTCAATGCCTATCGTTTCAGAGTAAAAGCCTTTCTCCTGTTTGTGTCTTGTGGTATAATGCTACCTGCACACAGACGCAACATTATTGGCCAACAACTCGATCCCAACATTGGATGTTACATGCTGTGTCCGTTTGTACACCCTCTTGTATGTTGTTGGGAGTTGTTGCGCAAAGTTTGAAACCTGTCAAACTTTAAGGTACGTGCGAACGGACGCAACAACTCCCTGGTAGTTGTTGGCCAACAATGTTGCGTCCGTTTACACGGGGCTTACGATGTGTTTGTTTAGTTAAAGATTTTATTTTGTAGTATGCTGCTGCCACCTACATTGCAGCATTCTACTAAACTAGTAACAGGGTTAAACGTTTTATCAGGTATCGATACACACTTTGTAAACCGAATATTCAGAGCACTCACAACTGTAATGACAAAAAAAAATACCCACAGCTTTATTAGTTCTCAAAATATAAGTAAGGAAATATACGTTTTAGTTTAAAATCTGCCCCTTTTTTGCAGCTAATCGATTCAATATGTTTGAAAGCTGAAGTTTGTTTGTTTGTTTAGTTGTAGTACAGTTTGTTGATGTTTACACTGACCGATTGCGCTTTTAAACTAGAATAAACGTCCAAACGTTGTAGGCGTTAAGACGTTCAATTGAATGTGGAAAGTAACTTTGTGATTGCCTCGGTTAAGCTCTGCAACGCGTAGTAATGAGCCCAAAAAGCGCGTCATATCTATTTTTTCGACCAGTCAGAATTAAAACCGAAACCAGTCGTTTCTTACAGGCACGTGTAACCTGCATGTGTTGCTGCTCTTACAGTTTGTGCTTTCAACTAGCTGAGGTAGAAGTTCACTGTTGTGTTGTGAAACCCACTAAAAATGTAATTCCAGAACGAGGCGTTGTATTATAATTTTCAAGTCTGATGCTAACATGCATGAAAGCTAACCAAAGCCGTTGTACAGTGAAAATTCCAATTCCTTGTACACACCACTTTTACACGGCGTTTGTCAGTCCACTGCTGACGTTTTCTCTGTGCTGTATGTTTGTGTAGGATATGTCTGAAGATGAAGTGAAGCCGATGACAGTGTCGCAGTTCCATTTTACTGGCTGGCCAGATCATGGTGCCCCAGACACTGGCTGTGAATTTCCTGCGCTTAACTTCATTCTCAAGTCTGCCACCGCCAGTCGGGATGGTGCTGGCCCCGTCATTGTACATTGCAGGTGTGATTCATGGGGGGATTAAGGGACCGCCCCTCCCCCTCCACACACACACACACACACACACCCATAAACGCTCCTTTTTTCTGTGATATTTTCAGTAAAATACTATGTGCTGCCAAGTGCTCCGCCCTGGTACCCATTTTCAAATTTTCTGGATCTGCTCCTGTGATTGCTAGAAAGAGTGCATAATGGTCAAAGCTCCTGTATGCGACGTCTGTAGTGGTCGCGTACAAGAATCGAACCACGCGAGGGGAGGTGGGGGGGTAACCCTTTTCTGAGAAGAGGACTGGAGAAAATTTATTGCATGCAATTTCTTAGTTACGATGTAAGTAGTTCGTTTCCTCAAAAGTTATCATCATCATTATCATCATCATCATAGTCATCCTCCTCCTCCTCATTACTATTATTATTAGTATTAGTATTAGTATAAGTATTAGTATTAGTATTAGTATTATTATTATCATCATCATCATAATCATTATGTTCTCTACTCGTTGCGAACAGCAGTATGAACTCTGTATTCCACTTGTTGTATTTGGTTTTAATTCATTAATTCGTTTATTTACTTATTTTTTTAGCGCTGGTGTGGGCAGAAGTGGAGCGTACATTGTAATCCATAGTATGGTTAAAAGAATGCATGTCACTGGAGACATCAATGTCTTCGACTTTTTATCCCAGATTCGGCAGCAACGAAATCACCTTGTTCAAGAGGAGGTAAGTCGAGCTTGGTTTAAGTGTAAGAGTAACTTAAAACCCTGTTTTCACCCTTGTTGTTCGGGTTATAAAGCAGCTTGCATTCAGATTTATCTTAAGCCCTCCACCTTGGAAAATGTTCAGCTGGTCAAAATACAGATTGACTGGTAACCCTTTCATCCTCCCAAAAGCGGCCAGGGTCAAAATTTGGTGAAAGTTTCAATTTCTAAACTGCTTAGAAACAAATAGTATCATGTGAAAATTTTGCTGAAGAGGTTTCAATGAATGGCAACAGCAAAGGATTTCATCCACGTATTCAAAAAGTTCAAAACACTTTGCAGTACTCCATCATTCACTCATTGTCAACACCAATGCCATTATCATCATCATCATCATCATTATCATCGTCACCATCATCATCATCATCACCATCATTGTCATCATCATTATCATCATCACCATTATCATTATCATCAGTACCATCATTGTCACCATCATCGCCATCAAACCGTCATCGTTATCACTATCACTGTCGTCATCATCATCACCATCATCGTCGTTGTCGTCGTCGTCATTATCATCAATTCAACGCCACACCGACTCGATTTCACGCGAAGTCTCAGTATGGCAGTCTATCCACTTATATCAGTGGTTTTAATCAGTATAAATCCATTTTAGCAGTCGCTTAATCTTGCTTAAAGTGCTTGTACATAAAACACATATAAAACACATATTCTTCGTTTAATAGGCCATTTCCGAGTTCCAAAAAATCTCACTCTCAAAACGAGGCTAAGTGCGAAACCTTTGTTTTGAAAATGAGTTTTATTTGCATCATAATTAAAAATCATTTTCATGTCAATGGCGTCGCACTTAGCCTCGCTTTGAAAGTGAGATTTTTTGGAACTCGGAAATGGCCTATTGCAAGCAGTTGCATGAACAGGCTTGAGTCTCCTTCAGGTAGGAAAACATTGCACCACGGTCCTTCTAATCAAAACTAACGTTCATCTTTCCTTTTCAGTGCCAATACATATTTGCCCACGATGCATTACAGCATTACATTGAAAGCGGCTTCAAACTGGAGATTGCTGCAGATGATCTTAAAGACCATCTACAGATACTTATGAAGAATCTATCAAGCCAAAGTCGCCTAGATTTAGAACTTGAGGTTTGTCGGGATTAAACGTTTAGCCTTAGAAAACACCCGTCATTTCGCGACGTTATCAACGGTTTGCAGCGAAATGATGACTGACAAACGAGCGCAGAAATTCCATACTGAGTTGATGACGTGTCACTAACCAGATCTGGGTGGTGCTTCTGATTGGTTGAAGCAAATTTCTCTCGCGGCAGGACCAATCAGAACCACTACCCAGATCGAGGTAGTGAGATGTCGTCAGTATGGAATTTCTGCGCTCCTTCCCCAGACTCCAGTTCACGGGGGAAACGTTTGTAGCATCGCAAAATGTCGTCTTTTTTTTCTCAGGCTAGATTTAACGCAGATTAAGCTTAACAAAACTAGGATAGCTTAGTCAATATCAAATTCCGTATGGCCTTTTCCGGAACGGAAGGCATCAACCCCGCGATCGGAAGTTCCCGGATCGAGTCCCCTTGCTATGTTTTTTTTCTTCGTAGTCCCGAGTCTCGCTTCTTGTACATGTAAATAGCCAATACGATTGCCTCTTTGGAATTTTTAACCACTTGATTGGTGTAATAATAATAATAATAATAATTATAATTTATTCATTTATAGTGCGCTTTTTAACATGCTAGGTGATCAAAAGCGCAAAAGCCGAAAAATCAAAGAGCGCTCTCACTAAAAACAAAGGCTTCTTACGGAGTCAAAGCCGAAAACTGTGGAACTTTGTCACTGGTTGTTGCCTTTTCCTTCTTAATTTCTCCTTTGTTCACTTTTCAGTACCTTAATGCAGTTCAAATTAAACATTACAACCTCAAGCAAGCAAAACGCGGCTGCAATATGGCAAAGAATCGCTCAGTGGATTACATACCAGGTAAGCCGACCGTTCTCTTCTTAGTTTCATGCGATTAAAACCATACGCGGGATTGCGACTCTTAAAAGAGACTGGTCATATTATTATTGAATGAAGACTTAGAAAAATGTGGTTTTACCAACTAAGGTGATAAAATAGTACACCATAAAAAGATTGCAAAATCGTTCTTGGCAGAGCTGTTCTTGTTCAGCTGTGCAGTTTATATGTCAAATGTTCTTTCCCCCAACAGCGGAACTGTACTCTTCTGTGTATAAACCTTCCATGCAGGAAGAGGTCTCTTTTATAAACCATACGCCACAGACGAAACTGGACGTCTGGTTTAGTCCGTCTGCGAGCCAGCGCCGATATCCTTGTTCTGGGTCCCCAGCTGTGTACCAGGATTTAAATGCGAGCCATGATTGGCCCGTTAAAAAAGGCTATTGTTCGATTGGCAAATCAGCTTGAAGGGAAATTCATAACGTACTTCCAGCTATTTTTGAGCCCGCTGGGGGTCCGCCAGAACAAGGACCTCGGCGCTGCTTCGCAAATGTTACTAGCCAGGCTTAGATTGCATCTGCGAAGCAGGCTTTTGAAAGTGTTGATGAAATAAAAATATTCTTTCTTAGCTGACAGCGCCAGAGTTGAATTGTTTCCACGTCCAAGAGAGGAAGGCTCTGACTACATCAATGCAAGCTACCTCCCGGTAAGTTTGTCATTTCTCATTCATATACACCCAAAAGTAGAATTCTGAAGAAACAAACCTATTACTTTAAAATAGTAATTGGTATCTTTGTTAAGGGCTGTTTACACGGGCGATTTTAGCGTGCCATTTGTTACGTGATAAGATGACTTGTTTTCTTGTGGCCCTTCTAGGATTTTCGTAAAAGAGTTGCACTTCCATTACGCAAAGTTTCAACAGCACGCAAAAACCTTATGAACAGAAATTGTTTGTTTGTTTCGTTTCGTTGTGCGAAAACTGCTATAAAGTCACACGAAATTTTGACTTCCATGCGAAAAATCTCGCTGAAATTGCCAATTGTGAACGCGCGCGACTTGATCGCCGCTCTGGTTGTGCAACACATCTTAAAGTAAAATTTCCTGTATAAACACCCCGTCTCATTTGAAGATGGCAATTTAGTTTGCCTTCCGCCATTTGGTTCAGGATCTTGTCGTGATCAGTTGGGTCTTGTAGCGGTAAAATATCTGTTGCATTTAAGTATATAATTTTAACTGCAAAACCAATAAGTTCTTTATGTTTGCTTTAAAAGATTTGACCGTTTCTTCTCTTTTGTACGAAACTTCTTGTTTGATTTAACTCTTTGACCGCGGCAGAGTTAGCTCAGTTGGGAGAGCGCCGGTCTGCGGAACGGGAGGTTGCGGGGTTTAATTCAATTCCCGAGGCCGGATAAATACTCAAGGTCTTTAAATAACTGGGAATTAAAGATCCTGCATTTGCACGGCAAAAGGCAAGACCTTCGCATGGCTCAGATGACCACGTAAATGGAGGCACCGTCTCTAGTAGAAGCAAAAAATGACTTCCTCTATGAGGATTGTAAAGCCAAATACACTGGCACTCAAATTAAGTGTTTTTTTTCCTCAACAGGGATTTTGGAAGTCACAAGCTTATATAGCCACTCAATATCCCTTGGAAGACACGACTAATGATTTTTGGAGAATGGTTTGGCAGGAACACTGTCGTTCAGTTGTCATGCTAGTAAGCAAAGAGGAACTTCAACAGGTACGATGGTTTTGTGTTAGTGAGGAGGGAGAATTTACACTTGTGTTACTTATTAGCAAGGGAAAGCTTTAACATGAAGCCCCCCCCCCTATGCAGTTGTCCTCATGGTTTCGTCACGCCATCCTTTCCTTCTGGGGAGGATTGCGTGACGAGACAAATTAACGTCTGCAAGGGAACTAGGTAGCTTTAAACATTTAAGAAGATGATTTTTTTTTTTTTTTTTGTGGGGAAAAGGGAAAAAGGATTTCACGATAGTTTTTTGTGAGGCAGGGAAGAGAACACTCCGGTTTTAATAGATACTATTTTTGTCGAGGGAAGGGGAAAAGAAACGTCCATCGGAAGTTCGTAGAGACCTTTTTTGATAGATGCTTTGTTTAACTAGAACCCTGTTTGTTTGTAGGATTACTATCACAGCTACCTTCCACCGTCTTATGAAACAGCAAGATTTGGTGATTATGAGGTTACGGTTGATTCGCTGGAGACGCTTGGAGACATCGTAGTCAGAAAATTACGAATGGCAGCCATTAAGGTAGGTTTTCATATGTCACACAACCCTAGTAAGAAATCCTAGTGATACACTCTTATACCGTGACATTCGTATTTGGAGTGTCACGGAAGACGTAAGAGAAGTCTTAAAGTGACAAGCAACCCCCGTCCCAGGGCCTCTCCACTTAGCCTGAGAACGAGTTTGGTACCAGGCTCTTGTACATCCCTTATTTTCGTGACGTCTTACTAACGGAAAGGAAATTAAGGGCCTGTTTACATGGAGGTTGGGGACCCCAGGTGGGTGAGATAACCCGCTTAGTTGGGGTAACTCGCCTGTCCATATAATATATCATTTTATTTGATCACGTTGACATGATAGGTGGGGTGACCATGTGAGAGATTATATGGACAGGCGGGTTGACTCACCTACCTGGGGTCTCCCACCCCCATGTAAACGAACCGTTAAAAAACCAAAAAAACTCATACTTAGTTCTAAGGCACAGGCTGCGGGAAACAAAGCAAAATAAATTCCATATTGAGCAAATAGACGTTTCCTCTTCACACATGAGACACAAATTACGAGAGTTGCTTGAACAATCTTGTTTTGTTTTGCTCTATTTATTTGCCACACATGAATAGAAATGACAAGCGATATATTAAGTATAAAAAAGAAGTGGCGAGGAGACCTAGCAGAAACTATAGGTAAGGCCTCCTCGAAGTACGGGCTAGGGCTGTTTCCATTAATTGAAAATAAGATAACGTGAAGTCAAAGGTGGAAAAGATTTAAGATCATTTTTCATATTTACTTAATAATTTAATCTTTAGTATTTTCTTAAAGGGGGAAAGGCAAATAAGTGGTTTCCCTACAAGTTTTTAAGGAAATAAGCAGTTGTTCCTAAACCTTCCAAGATCCACTAAGCAGAAATTATGGTGACTTATACTTTGCTTTTTGTTTCTTGTAAGGATCCAACTGAGTACCGAAATATCCAGCATTTTCACTTTCTTCACTGGCCGGAAGATGGTAATCCATGGTCGGGTCAGACTATCCTACAGCTCATTCGCAAAGTGGATAGCTGGGAGGATGAAGTCAAATTGTCCGCCAAGCCCTTCGAGACAATTGGTCCTATTGTCGTACACTGCAAGTGAGTGTGAACTATGCCATGTTAACGGACCGATTATTTAACTTTTGAGGTGGCTTCGTGCTGGGTAATTTCGGATAGATTGTTAAATCTGATTCAGTATAAGTTTCTAGGAGACTACCCACCCCTTCCTTAACACAACATTTTCCACTACACAAGAGGTTAATGCTAAGGTTGGTTAAGGGAAGGGGAGGGTGAACAGTTTGCTAGTACGGACGAAAAAAAGAATCTTTTATTATTCATTACAAATATTTCTCCGTTTCTGAGTGGCTTAATCAGAAACATCGCTTAAATATTGGACACATTGCTCTTATGCATTACACTAAACGTCGGTTTTTGTTTATTCGTTTGTTTGTTTTCTTCCTTGTCAGTTATGGGATTGGTCGTACTGGAGTATACTGTCTTCTACACACTATGTATCACCAAATAGCAAGAGAGAATACTGTTTCCATCTATCAAGTGGCACGCTTGTACAATTTCCAGAGACCAAACTGTGTTTCAACCAAGGTAAGAAATTGTCTGTTTAGTCTAACGTCCGTTTCAGTTTTCTTTTCGGGGAGCAGTGGTTTATTTTTTTTATGGTTCCCGTCCCTGTTTTGAGGTTCTTCGAGTACTCCGGTTTTTTTTCCTCTCCTCAAAAACCAACATTTGCCGGTAATTTCAATTGGCCATGTTACAAACGTGTGGGGGAACTGGTACGAATTGTGACCGCGAGGGCTCTGTGACAGTGATATAGGCATCCCCTTCTCATATTACCTTAGCGATCTGGGTTAGGGTTACAAGGAATGCCCATATCTCTAGGCTTTGGGAATGGGGATGCCCATAACACTAATGGTTTGGAGGGAGAGCAAAAACATGTCGGACAGCAGCAAGCCACCTGTTAGAGGCGTTCTCAAGGTTGTTGTGTCTCAAGAAGACATAAATGGCACATCACGGTCTTCTCATGTCCTTTAATAGTGGAGGTAAGTTGCTTTTTTTGAAATAAAACAGTGATTTTGTTACAGATAGTTATGGTGAGTCCTGGGACTCATCTTGTGAAACATCACGAGTCCCAGTCCAGAACCAGTGAGTCCCAGTGAAAAAAAAACGAGTCCGAAATTGAAAATGCTTGGGCCTTTATGTGACCAGACAGTTAATGTGAAGTCAGACTCCAAAACCCTGTATTACAGTATACTGAAATTTAAATACAGTCCTTCTTTTTTCAAGCACAACAAAGGCTAAAAGAAATATGCATCGTTAAACAACAACCATAATAACCGCTACAGAAATTACACGAAGGGTATATTTCTACAAATACACATGTTCAATCGATCGATCTTTGCGTCCTACGAGACGCATGTCCTGAATTACTTTGCGTCTTTGGGGATCTTTAAGCGTCAGGGATGCAGGACGCAGAGGTAACAAAATCACTGCTATATTTGCAGTTTAGAACACAGCACTTGTAGTGCGCCGCCATGTTTGTATACCTTCATGCTGTCCTTCCAAACGGTCCCAAGAATCTTTGTGGTCGCGTATTATACCCAGCTTTCCACTCAATTTGAACTTGGCGAATTCTATTAGGAATGGTATACAAAGGGAACCTTTGTGGATGTCGCCCAAGTCATTATCAATTTTTTTGATATAATGATACTTGAACTGCATAATTTTTATCTCAGTTCTGAAATGGTTAATAACAAAACGCATATTGTTGTGAATTAGGTTACAAAAATTTCCGAGAACATTCCACACACACCGCCACAAAAACTTGCCACGGCTACCAGTAACCCCACCCCCCGTGTCTCTCCAGGCGCACGCGAATGATTCTTTGCAGTGCTGTGTTGCTTTGCCTCTATAAGCTGCACTGCTTATAACTTTCCACGATAAGTTCCTTATTTTAATACACATTTGTTATTATTCATAAGGAACACTACGAATTCTGTTACGACACACTGGTGGAATATATTGAAGCCGGCTGTTCGTTACATCTTGTATGACATGAGGTGCATTGCGTTACGGAGGTGAAATGCGCAAGGAAGTTGTGACAGACCAAGTTGCAGTTTTGCGGCCTGCAACGGAAAGGTACTCAGCGTTTGTCTCACCACGCAGTCAAGCCAAGACAAAGTCACGCAATCTTACGTTAAGAACCGTATATCACGCCCCGCTTCTGTGCTTTTACGTGACAGTGCAATGGAGGCTGTGCTCGTTCAGATTGTGGTAGTTTAAATTCTTATTTCAAGTCTTGTTTCTAGTATAGTATCCCGATACTAGGTAGAATTCAGTCAGATGAAAGCAGTTGAGAACAAAGGGCCCGAAAAGTCATGCGCGATCAGAACCTTATTAGACTTTATCTCTCAGAGACCTGTCGTTGTGACTTTTACACGGGACCTCCAATTTAACAATGCGCGCACAGATAACCCATCACTGCCTTTTCGAATTTTAGTCAGTATTTCGTCACCAACAAAAGCTTTCCCTTTCGGCTTGCCGTAGTTTACTGAAGAAAATAAGAGCAAATTTGTTTTTGTTGGTTCAAATTTAAGGCTGAAAGCTTAATTTAGCCGTTAAAAGAAAATATAATCAAGATTATCATATTTAATAAATGATGATAGGAAATAGTTATAATGTTTAAAGAGTTATTTCTCGGATAAATTTTAGTCGTCTTTTTTGCGTCATAAAAAGATTGAAATCAAAATGGTTTTCTTTGTAGATAAAAATTTGAAATATACCGTGTTTCCTCAATGAAGCGCCTTGGGGCGTTTTTTAAACCAAGCCCAGTTTATCCATAACGGTTGCTTCTTTAACAGAATATTTATTCATCGCCTTTTGCGGTCATACATCTCGCTGCTGTATCTAGAGTTTATTGCGGTATCAATAAATACATGCCTGACGGGCTTATTTGGTACTTTCGCATTTAGACCTAGCATTTAATCGAGAAAACTCGTTGTTTCAGTCGCGTGGATAGTAGCCTGCGTAGCAAGCATATCCGATCAAGTTATTATGTGAAAGTTGCAACTGTTGTGCCATCTTTCTCGACAAGCTCGCGCGGAAACGCGGGCTACTTAGATAGATATTATTGTTAAAGGGAAACCTTGCCATACTGACGAGAAGAGTGACTATGGAATTGCCTCTTAGAGAAATAACATGGTCGTTATGCGTAAAAATAGAGTTATGTATTTTAATTTTTAGATTTGCTTAATGAATAATAAATCGCATGACACCCGTCATGGCTTTTACTACGAGAGCCCATTGTATTGAATTCCAAAAGCAGAACACTTAGGCTTTCTGTGAAATTAGAGTGTAATACTGCATGGTAGTCTACCACCTTTTTCACGGTTAAAGTTATATCACTCTGAAACAAGATATTTCTAACGTAAACTTCACTGGATAAAATCCTACAGTGTGACAATTCAGAGGAAAGCAGCTTTTTTCCTGATAGAAGTAGATTTAATGGAAGTTGAATTTCGTTGCTATTGCAAGCCAAAGAAGAAGACCAGTCGGTTTATAAAGGTTCAAAATTGTTGATTCTTTTGATATTTTATGTTTATAGTGTAGACAATTATTTTTTATTTACTGTACAGTTACTTTTATTTGTGTACAAAACCGCTTGCATTTTAACGGAATAGATTTAAAGTATGTAAGCGTCGAATCACTGACTGATGTAAATACGTTTTCTAAAATCCATGATCAATGAACTAAATAAAGCATTTCAAATAGATGGAGTTTGTTTATTGATGTTTGTTTATGACACTGCCATATTAGAAAGGGAGAAGACCCTAGGAAGACGACATTGACTTTCGGAGGCGGTTGGTGACACCTGAGACGACGACGCCACCCACAGTTTTCCGCACAATGACGTCAGAGGAACAATCTCAGAATTCCATACTGATGACGTCTCCCTACCCAGGTCTGGCTAGTGCTTAGGATTGGCTGAAAATTATCTTCTCAAGCTAGGGTTAAGGAGGAATACAAGAATTTGAAGAATCGTTTCTGAGGACGCAGAAAACATGTTACAGTGATGTCGCTATCAAGGACACTTTAAAAAAGGTAGGCCCACTCTCGCAATAGGCTATTTCCAAGACGCCTCAAGCGTCTGTCTCAAAGGATACCGTACTGACTTTCATTTCGGAATGAGTTTCGTTCCAGAATGAAGTTGGTTCTGTATTCACATGGTAAAATCGACCGGCTCAGCCTAAGCTCTTTTTCGCTCCAGGAGTGTGTTTCTCGAAAGTCCTGGTAACTTTTCGGGCCCGCAATCAAATATTCAGAATAAGAGCGCGGGTCTTGGCTAGCAAACTACTCCATTTTGTTTCATTAACTGATTGTTTTATCATGTTATATGAAAAACTATTGAACTCTATCTTGCATGTAAACCAACAAAAGCTTTTAAACGGGAATTTCGAGAAACGGGCCCCAGGTCAGATACGCATGCGCCAATCCCCCTCCCCACCCCCAGACTACACGATACGGAACGAATCTCCTTTTCAGTTTACATGATACCAGAATGAAATTTCCTACCAGAACGAGAATTTCATTCGGAGCCAAAACCGGAATCAACTCAATCCAGGAAAGATACAATGAAATTTGTTAAAAAACAAAAAAAAAAAAAACTACGATAGTACGCGCGCTCTGATTGGCCGAGAGGTGTTTTTTTGCATGAAAGTCTGTAAACATGGTTGTGACGTCAAGTTGCTTTTCTATTCGCGCGCTAATCACCCAAGCACGAATTTGAAAAAGTGAGTTGAAAACTCGACAAATTTACTATATTCACCCATTAACTCGAGGTCTGAAACCCTGGAAAATCTTTACAAACACGCTGTCTATTGTTTTAAGCGAGAAAAACCCTTATTTTGGAAAGCATCTTTTATTGTAAAACTGATTACGCATACAAGCTTCGTGTACAAGACTGCGCGACTGGTAACTCTTTTAATCAGTAACATAAACAAAGAATTTGCTTTTTTCTCCAGAAAGTTATTTTATAAAAGCAAAAGTGGTCTAGTAATTAAGCCCCGTGCAGACGGACACGACATTGTTGGATGTAACATGTTGCGTCCGTTTGCTCACTCTCTTGCATGTTGTTGCCTCGTCTCGGTCCATAAAAACGCCAAAAAAAAAACGTGGCCAAAATCTTGTCATCCTGACCTTACGCGTGGTAAATAACGCAAATAGGTTAACCACTTTACAAAAATCCCATTTTTGCGACTATATAAGACCGATCATCTTGTATTATGCAAAGGCATGTTTTCTATAAACAACATAAGAAACATTATTTCATAGCCTTTTAAAACCAAAAACGAACTAAAAAACTTTTCAATTTTGTCACCAACATCATGGGTTAACCATTTTGAAACAAAATCTCATTTTAGAGAAAAAATAAAATTAATATTCCTCCAGTCTACAAAAACGTCTTTTCTATCTAGAAATTTACCAAACTTTTCATCACCTTTTTAAGCCAAACACAAAGTATGATTTTTTGGCCAAAATCATCGGTTAAATCCTTTGGAAAAGTCCAATTTTTGCAACTGTAAAAGATCAATATATTTCTCCTCTACAAAACCTTCTTTTCAATCTAGGGCATCATAAAACATTACTTCATGGCCATAACAAGCCAAAAAAAGAGCTATAAAAAATTTTTCGTACAAAACAGTCTAAACATTTGCCTTTTTCCAAAGAAGTTAATCCAGAAAAATTGAAATGTTTCCATCCTTTTAATTTACGCAAAATACCCAAGGAAAAAGTGTATGGCAATATTCTAGATAGTAAAAAAGCCTTTCTCTACTGAAAAAACAAGGAGTTAAAAAAGTCCAAAAGTTAGCATTTCTTCAAAACGGTTAGTCCATGGTCCTCCAGAGTTTTGGTCCAAAAATTCAATTTTTTTTCGTCTTTTCACTTCAGGAAAAAAAAGCAAAGAAAATGTGTTTGGCGACATTCTAGAACTAAAAAACAACTTTCTAGACTATAAAAACAATAAGTTAAAAGGGTCACAAAATTGGGACTTTTACAAAGGGGTTACTCCATGGTTTTCGTGAAAAATTAACTATTTTTCCATTTCTTTCTTTTTCGGCAATATCGGCGAGAAAAATGTGTTTTACCACATTCTACAACGAAAACACCCTTTCTAGGCTATAAAAACAACAAGTTCAAAAAGTCGAAAAATTAAGATTTTTCCAAACAGGTTAACCCATGGTTTTGGTTAAAAAATGTCCCTTTTTCCATCTTTTTTTAGCCAATATCGGCCAGGAAAATGTGTTTTACGATATTCTAGAACTAAAAAACGCCTTTATAGACTATGAAAAAAAGAAGATCAAACAGACGAAAAATTGAGATTTTCCCAAGGAGTTAACCAATAGTTTTGGTCGAAAATTGGCCCTTTTTCAATCCTTTTCTTTTTAAGCAATAAAGCTCAGGAAAATGTGTCTTACGATATTCTAGAAAAAAAAAAACCCCTCCCAAAGCCTTAAAAATAAAAAGTTTAAAATATCAAAAAAATACACATTTTTACAACAGCTAAACCCGTGGTTTTGGTAAAAAGGGCCATTTTTCAAGCTTTTTTATAAAGCAATAAAGCCCAGAAAAATGTGTTATACGATATTCTAGAACAAAAAAACGCCGTTCTAAAATCGAAAAACAAGAAGTCCAAGCGTCCAAAAAATAAAATTTTTTCAAAGGGGTCAACCCATGGTTTTAATCCAAAAATGCTTATTTTTCCATGAGTTGTTTTAGAAAAAATACGTCAGGAAAATGTGTTTTACAATAATCTAGGGAAAAAAAACCCTTCTAGGCTATAAAAACAAGACATTCAAAAAGTCGAAAAATTGACATGTTTCGAAGGGGTTAACCCATGGTTTTGGTCCAAAAATAACCATTTCTCCAACTTTGTTTATTTAGGCACATTATAGGCCACGAACATGTCTTTTACGATATTCTAGAGCGAAAAAACGCCTTTCTAGGCTATAAAAACAAAAATTTAAAGAAGTCGAAAGATCGACATTTTTCAAAAAGGGTTAAGCCATGGTTTTGGTCCAAAAATGACTATTTTTCAAACTTTTCTTATTAGGCAATATAGGCCAAGAAAATGTCTTTTAAATATTCTAAAGCGAAAAAACGCCTTTCTACGCTATTAAAACAAGAAGTTCAAAAAGTCGAAAAATTGACATTTTTCCAAAGAGGTTAACCCATGGTTTTGGTCCAAAAATGACTATTTTTCCAACTTTTTTTTTCGGCAATATAGGCCAGGAAAATATCTTTTACGATATTCTAGAGCGAAAAAACGCCTTTTTAGAATATGAAAAATGGCCATTTTTGGACCAAAACCATGGGTTAACCCCCTTGGAAAAATGTCAATTTTTCGACTTTTTGAACTTCTTGTTTTTATAGCCTAGAAAGGCGTTTTTCGCTCTAGAATATCGTAAAAGACATTTTCCAGGCCTATATTGCCTAACAAAAAAAAACTTGGAAAAATGGCCATTTTTGGACCAAAACCATGCGTTAACCCCTTTCGAAAAATGTCAATTTTTCGACTTTTTGAACTTCTTGTTTTTATAGCCTAGAAAGGCGTTTTTCCGCTCTAGAATATCGTAAAAGACATTTTCCTTGCCTATATTGCCTAACAGAAAAAAAACTTGGAAAAATGACCATTTTTGGACCAAAACCATGGGTTAACCCCTTGGGAAAAATGTCAATTTTTCGACTTTTTGAACTTGTTGTTTTTATAGCCTAGAAAGGCGTTTTTTCGCTCTAGAATATCGTAAAAGACATTTTCCTGGCCTATATTGCCTAAAAAAAAATTTGGAAAAATGGCCATTTTCGGCCAAAACCATGCGTTAACCCCTTTCGAAAAATGTCAATTTTTCGACTTCTTGAACTTCTTGTTTTTATAGCCTAGACAGGCGTTTTTTCGCTCTAGAATATCGTAAAAGACATTTTCCTGGCCTATATTGCCTAAAAAAAAAACTTGGAAAAATGGCCATTTTTGGACCAAAACCATGGGTTAACCCTTTTGGAAAAATGTCAATTTTTCGACTTTTTGAACTTCTTGTTTTTATAGCCTAGAAAGGCGTTTTTTTGTTCTAGAATATCGTAAAAGACATTTTCCTGGCCTTTATTGCCTAAAAAAAAGTTGGAAAAATGGCCATTTTTGGACCAAAACCATGGGTTAACCCCTTTGGAAAAATGTCAATTTTTCGACTTTTTGAACTTCTTGTTTTTATAGCCTAGAAAGGCGTTTTTTGTTCAAGAATATCGTAAAAGACATTTTCCTGGCCTATATTGCCTTAAAAAAAAAGTTTGGAAAAATGGCCATTTTTGGACCAAAACCATGGGTTAACCCCTTTGGAAAAATGTCAATTTTTTGACTTTTTAAACTTCTTGTTTTTATAGCCTAGAAAGGCGTTTTTTTGCTCTAGAATATCGTAAAAGACCTTTTCCTGGCCTATATTGCCTAAAAAACTGGAAAAATGGCCATTTTGGACCAAAACCATGGGTTAACCCCTTTGGAAAAATGTCAATTTTTCGACTTTTTGAACTTCTTGTTTTTATAGCCTAGAAAGGCGTTTTTTCGCTCTAGAATATCGTAAAAGACATTTTCC